GGGAAAAATTTTACGAAAATTTTTTAATTAATTTTATTTGATAATTTTAAACAAACATTTGACTCAATAATTTTAAATATTGAATGGTTACAGTCCTTTTTAATAAATTTTGGGAAAAAGCAAGGCCCTAAGTTCAAGACTCCTGTCCAAAGAACTTGGGGTCCTGCTTGACTTGGAAATCTATAGTCTTTAACTACTATAGAATTTATCCACGAAATATTTCCAAGATTTCCTTCAAATCGAAAAAATCTTTTCATCAATTTTATATAATTTATTTAAGTAAATCACATCTTGCACCTTTCCTACCTGGACATCCAATAATACCACAAAATGGAAAAAGACTTGATGGCGTTGTGAGCGGTGCACCTTGGGGAAGTGCCAGTATTTTGCCGATTACTTGGGCATATATTAGATTGTAAAATAAGTTTTTTGATATTTATTTTTTAAATTGTCTTTTAAAGAATGGGTATTTCTGGTCTAAAAAGTGCCTCCCAAATGGCTATACTTAATGCTAATTATATGGCAAAAAGATTAGAAAATGCTGGCTATCGAGTTGTTTACAGAGACGAACAAGGCTTAAACGCTCATGAATTCATAATAGACTGCAAACCTTTCAAGCAATTTGGTATTGAAGTGGATGATATAGCTAAACGTTTAATGGATTTTGGATTTCATGCACCAACTATGCATTGGCTAGATTTTTAAATTTATTATTTGAGAAAAAATTTAAAATTTTTTATAGGCCAATTCGTGACAGTTTAATGATTGAACCGACAGAGAGTGAGGACAAAACAGAATTGAATCGGTACTGTGATTCTTTGATTGCAATCAAACAAGAAATAGAGCAAATAGCTAAAGGACAACTACACATTGATCTATACAAAGTAGGGATCAAAATATTAAACCACTAAATTTTGTACATTCAGAACGCTCCACACACCCAAGCAGTTTTAATGGCAGACAATTGGGACAGACCTTACAGTCGAGAACAAGCTGGTTGGCCAAAGCCATGGTGTCTTACTCCAAGGAAGGTATGGCCGTCCTGTGGAAGGATTGATGATTCTTTCGGCGATAGAAATTTAGTGTGCATGTGTCCTTCAGTTGAGGAATTGGCATATCAATAAGATTTATGATTTTCGAATTTACAATGTTCTATGTATTTTCTTTTAAATAAATAAATACTAGATTAAATCCACGGTTGTGGGTCATTAGAGTGCACCACTAGAGTTAGAGATCTCCACGATTTTTATAAACCTCGGTTATCTCGAACCTCGCTCGAAATTTTACCATCGGCTTGATCTTGGCTTTTCCACCCTCAACGATCCTCGGCCTCGGTTTTTTCAAGAAACCTGGACCTACTCTTTTGAACTACCTTTCATTCAAACTCATGACACTGACGATTTATTAGCAAACCCCCGGAATAACATACAAGCACTGTAGAAGTTGTTGCGAAAACGGAAACAATGTTCAGATCAAATTTTTAAATTTACACGTGGTGCCTACCGCGCGCTAGCGGAGTGGCGCGCGTTTATACATATAACGAAGATGTTTAAAAATATTTTTGAAAATAAATTAAATAATAATTTTCTTAAAATTTAAAATTTAGTTTCGGTCTTTCTTAATTATTTATCATCTTTTAATTTAAAAATTTCATTAATTGATGGTATTCTAATAAGATTATCTTTTTTATTTTTCTTATTTTCATTAAATATTTCACTTATTTGAGGCCATTTAATTAATTTCTTATTTTTATTTTGTTTGGTAATTTGATTCAATTTTTCATTGTTAATATTTTCATAATTTGATTTCTGAGTTAGCTGATTATTGTTTTGATCTAGCAAAAAATAATTTTTTTTTATTTTAGAGCCCTGAATTCCGATCCCTAATAATTGTATGATTAAATTTAATTTATTCTCGGTATTTATCGGTACGGCAAAATTTTGAAGTTCATCGGTATTAATCGGTATTCCGTATCGAAATGCCGAGTTCTAATTTATTTACTACCTGCTTGACTTTGTATTTGTTTATTTGTATTAATATGATTTTGTTTAAATTCCTCTTCAAATTTAATACCAAGACGAGATTCAATTCTTAAATTTTTTATATTTATTAGGGATCGGATTTTTAGTGTGTAACCCCTTAAAATAGTTACCTAAATAGGTTGTGTGAAAAAATCCTGTACGTAATCCCTTCACTTCAACACTCTTGTCAACAACTATTACAGGAAATAATATGATTTAGCCTAAAAATCCGATCCCTAATAATTGTATAATTAAATTTAATTTACATATTTTCTAATTCAAAATTATTTGAATAAATTCCATAAATTGAATTATTATTAAATCCATATTTATTATTTATTTTTCCCATATGGAAATTGAGAGTAGAAATAAATTCATTAATATAATCTGGAATTGAAGAACAAGAATCCTCTCTAAAATTGAGACCAACTAGCCAAATAACGCGAAGCATTTGAAAGCTTTAAAAATTTTTGAGAATGGTTATTGTTATAGCCCATCTCTGTTGCGAGGTTTTAATCTTTGTTTGGGAGCATATTAAAATTCGAACTATTAAAAAATTTGGTAGGTAGGATAGGATAGGCCCGTACGAGTAACACAAATTTCTAATTCCAAACTGTTTTCGATTTAGTTTTTATAAAATTTGATTTTAGAATCGTGTTTCTTTTTTGGTTTCAGTTAAATAGCATTTTGTACTTGGAGAGGGATTTATTTCAGAGAGTCATGAATTTTTAAAAATTAGGTTTTTAGCTGAGACCGGATTAAGGCAAGATCTCCAGCAAAAATCTCGGTTATCAGGATCAATATTTGTCGAAATATCTAATACGATTCTGGTGCGAGTTTTTTGTTTTTCGAGATTTGAACTGTTTCTCGTTCACACTCCGTCCGGTCTCTTGTTTCAACTATAATTTTATTAATTACCTTTTATTATACATTCGTCTTTTTCTTGCATATCCACTTAAAGCATGATAATTATTCAATCTATCTTTTAAAATAACTGTTTGTTTATTTTTTGTTTTAATAACAGTTTTTTCTACCCAACGATAGAGTAAAGTTCTAACTCTAGTTTTTAATTGTCCACAATTTGGAGGGGAAACTGATGAAAATTCTTTTTGATTTTCATCATTAATGTATTTAGATGATGTACATTCTAATAACAAAAAATGGCAAAATTTATTTTTATAATCTAATTGTTTGAAAATTAGATTATTTTCATTCAGATTTTTAGAAGAATTTTTATCTGTTTCTTCAATCAGAATTTTGTAAGCTAAAATTGAAAAACATTATTTGGTAAAAAATATAATCTTCTCATTCAAATTAAAAATTTGTTTTTATTATTTGTCCGTTTATTAGGGCAAAACAAAATACTAAATTATCTTGATATACTAAAATGGTGATTGATTCCATAGAGATAGAGTTAAAAGTTTATCCCCGTGTATGAATGATCATGAAGCCTCTGGGGTTAGTGTAGGGGTTAAAGAACGGGGTAGGGGTTGACGGAATTTTAACCCTCCCGGCTCATCATTTACAAATCCTCTACCGACTAATCGGAGTGCGCTTTTACATTTTAAAAGATCTTAAGCCCACGCCTATTAAGCATTTTAGGATACTAGCTTGTTGAAATTACATTCATTTTTTGACTTAATTTCGAATTAAATTTTTCAACTTTTTTGACCATTTGCAACAGAAATTATGAAAACTTTACCTCTATTAATCTCTAATTTGATAATATTCAATGTATGGTTATTAACATTATAAGCTGCATTTTGATTGGGAAAAAGTGAAGTAATTACAGGCATTTTGTCCCCATCGTGATATTCAGAAGGCAACAAATTTTTTAAATTCCAATTTTGAAAAATGTTGTTCGAATTTACTAATGAATTCAAAATTACTGGAATTGGCCGAGGCCTAAATTAGCAAAATTGTAAAGTTTAACACATTATTATTTCGAAGGTATATGGATGCTAGTTTTAGAAATCGGTTATTAACCCTTAATCTTAATTTTTGGTTTCAAGTTTTAAATAAATAGCCTTTATTTTGGGGGAATTTTTCACTCATTTTTAAAAATTTCACTCATGCACTTTCTCGCAAAAAGCATCATTTCAAACAAAAATTACAATATTTACTCAAATACATTGTAAGAGTAATTACCTTCACGCTTGAGAGGGTAATTATTTGAGGACTAATTAGACGTGTAAATAGGATAACATTTTTTATATTTTTATTTTGCCAAATTTATTTAAATAAACAAACCAAATGCTATAAATTAGGAAGAATTGTCTTAACAAAAATAGTAAATTTCCATTCGGATATAAAAGACAAATCTTTGCTGACATTATTAATAAAATTGTGCCGCTAAGATAACCAAAAATGTTTGAATAAATTTGCCGAGCTTAATTAATTGTTGATTGTTAGTTAAAAATTATTTGAACCTTTAGCCCATTGTTTAACAACGCGCAATAAATTAGTAAACATTTCCTCACGTTCAGGATTTATTAGAGAAAATTTTGTTCGATAAGACATTCTATAACCTTTAAAAAGATTTACTATCTTTAATTTATTTTTTTATTTGTTCTGATATTATTTTAATTGTTAAAAAATCTAAGGCATATGTATTCTTTTCTTGCCTATGCAATGATCTCTTATGGGCGAGATTATGTTAAAAAAAAGATCGGCCAGTCATTACATTTTCTTATTTATCGCTACATTCTGTGACACCTCCCATTCACATGTTCATGATTATATAATTTATATTGTTTAACCGGTAGATCAGTTCCCAGATGAGCAGTCTTTATGGGGGATCCAAAAAAAAAGCACTCCGCTGGTATTTGTAGCGGTATTAGCTAGGTTCTGGCCAACCCAATGATTCTTCCTACAGAATAAAATTGTAATATGTGCATAGGCTTTTAAAGAATTTTTCCAGCATACTTTCACTTTACCAATACATATATATTTAACGAAAAAGTATTTTATAAATATAATTTATAATATTATAAACAAGCCTGAAAGGATTAAAATACTCTGAAAATGTTCAGAATCATTTAAATTATCCATTCGTTCAATTAGTTCATTTAATATGTAAATATTTTCTTTAATAACTTCTTTATTATTATGTTCCGACAGCTTTAATTCTGCATGAATTGATGTAACTGGAAGTTGTGCAAACATAATATCCATTTCGTGCCCTTCTATTACTAATTCTATGAGTGGTACACGGGCATTGGCTATTGAATTGACATTGAATAGATCACAATTGTAATTCTTTAATCATGAAATATTTGTCATATTTTTAAAACAATAATATTAGAAGGGTACTTTACCAGTATTAGCTGATCCTGGGAAGTCCATGGATATTCGGATCAGATCCGAAAAAAACTATAAAGTAAAATTTCCATACCAATTCTCTTGAATATTCCTCCTCTAATTCTTTAGCCAAATAAAAATAAAAGGAATTTTCATTATTTCCAAAAATTAAATCGTTTCTTGATTGTTCCTCTAAACCATCACAATAATTTAATGAAGGTATTAAGAAAATAATGTCAATATCAGAATTATCTGTAGCTGTATCCAAGAGTATGGATCCTCCAACAATCATCGAAAATCCTTTAACATGTATAAATAAATTATTACTTCACGAATTATAGTAAGGTTCAGAATATATGACAGAAAATCAAAAAACTATGTCCAAATATATGCTTTAAGACCCAACGTAAAAACACCATATTTGAACACTCTCACATGGCATATCCCCATACAAAACGTGCATTTGCATGTTTTTTCAACCATAATTATGTATGTATAAATTTACTTACCTCCATATTTCTTAGAATTATTTTCACAGATTATTTTTAACCATTTTTCAAATTTTTCTTTTAACCAAATTAAACAATTTTCTCTTGATTTTAATATTCCTTCACTTATTTTATATAATTTATCAAAATATGTCAAATTAAAATTTTTATTTTCAATATTAAACGCTTGACTATATTTATAAAACTTAGGTGAGAGCCATTTAGATTTTTCTAATGGAATAATTCTTGTAGTTAAATTGCCATTCTCAATCAGAGAATAAATCTCTTTTTGTAAATTATCATCTAAAAATTACAAGTAAAATAAAGCTAAGATGAAACTATAAATTTTTTTTAATTAGAGTGATTTGCTATAGAGTGATATAAGAGATAGCTATGCTTTTGTGATCGCTATAATTCTTGCTAGGCCTTGACCGAGTATTCCAAAAACTGACAACTCTAATTATAAGTAAATAACATTGCCAACCAATTGTTTGTTGTTCAAACATTGCACGAATTGAAAGAATATTTGACATAAAAATTTGACTAAACTTAATCAAATTATTTTTATATTTTTGATCATTTTTATCAATTTCTTCAAACATTTTCCCCCCAAACAATTTAAAAATTCCTTCAAAAAATTCAAAATTAAGTGTTGGGTCCTCTTCATTGTAATTTACAGATTTATTAAAATTTTCAAATTTATCTTGAGAAATATTTATTTGATTATCCCTTGATATTTTTAATTTTTTTGAAAAAATGGAACAAAACATTTGAAAATTAATTTGCGTTAATATTTTTGAAATTTTGTCGATCACATGATTTTTCGATGTAGATTCTTCTTTAACTATGTTTAGTCTATTTACGGTTTTCTCACTAAATAAAGTTGTTATTTTTATATTATAATGTACCTATATGCTTAAATAATTACCCTCTATCATATATTAATTACCACCTAATTACCCCTATTAATTACCCCCTCCAGCGAAAGGTTGAAACAATAATAAGCCATTGTGACTGTTTGAACCATTTATTTTAAAAATTATTACAAAAATTAATTAATTTTAAAAGAAAGAGGATAAAGGTTCAAAATATATTTATCTATTTAATTTTTGAATTATCGGAATAATGAATTATCGCATAGTTCAGCTCTATGTATTATACTACATATGTATAATATTTTAAAAAATAATTATAATTAAAATAAAGTAACTAGCATTTTTCCTTCGAGTTTTTGAACAAAATTGTCATCAAACGGTAATTTAAAAGAAATACTTTCCAAATTTTGATTTATTTTAAACAATTGAATCATTAATTTATTTATATTTTGTTTGTTTATATCTCCATTTTGTTTGAAATTTTGTTTTTTAAATTTCTTCCAAAATATTTCTATGGACTTCATTATATTTTTAGCGTTCTCTTTTCTTTAATATAAATAAAAAATGGATTTCAGAAGTAATTATTAAATTAGCCTATTTTTAGCCAATTTTAAGCCTATTCTTGGAGCGGCTCTGAAAATTTTGCCAAGATTTGAAAAAATCGGAGCGGGAGCACCACTACCCAACGTATACCTATATTACTCCAAATAATTTAATAATTCTAATTACTTATTTTTATCAGTTATTATTTTTGTTTTTGCCAACAAACTTGCACTCAAAAGCTTATCTTCAATTAATTTTGTTAAAACAATTATATTCATCAATTCCTCTAAATTGGGTATTTCCTCTATTCTTTCTTTATTTTGGATTATTATATTAAGATTTAAGAAATATATTTCTTCTAAATGTTTTTCTAAATATCCTTCTTTAAACGATTCTTTTAAATCTTAATTTAAAAATTCATTCAAAACTTGTAATTAAGGTTGAAAATGTCAAGGTTGAGATTATTGGGATCGGCATTCGTTAAATCATTCTGGGTTTGTGTCAGAGATGAAATGAAAGTTTTTGGAAAAATAATAGATCATATTATTTTGCAGCATAAGGTGTCATAACTTACTTTTTAATGTCTTAGGCTCTGATTAGATCTGACAAGATTTGCCAGAATCGAACAAAATCTCAATTACTAAGGCGAAATTTTTGAGAAGTCTCGATTAATCTCCTGTATTTCAAAACAAAAATTATATGTGATATATTGTTACATGTTAATATATTTGGTTTATTTATTGAAACGTATGTACATCTGGGATAATTTTATCCTTAATCGGTTGACATTTCCTCAGACTTGTCGATTCAAGATGCTACTTAAGGCTAAGGATATCCCCGGATATCCATATTTTTCGGATATCCGGGCTTTTTCAAATCCGGATTTTTTATTTCAATTATCTTCTTAGTTATGATCTGAATAAAACTATAAATTTTAAATTACCTTTTAATTCAATCATCTCACTCAATTTATTTATTGCTTCATTTAAGGAAGTTTTATCAATTACATTTTTTATTTCATTTTCCTCAATTTCTTCCTCTTCCAATTTATCTTCAAAATTTAAAAATAAATTTGTCTTTTTTCCTTTTTTAGTTTTATCCCATCTTTGTTTCGATTTTTTAGATAAAATTTCCATCGATTTACTTCTTGACAATTTACTCAATGGATATGTTTTAGTTGAGTAGATATTTTTATCTTTAAATAAAAATTATTTTCAACTAAATTTAAATAAATAAACTTGGATTGTTCCCCCGAGAACGTCCATGGGCGGGTTGTCGCATTAAAAGTTTTTGATTGTTTCGGAGCTCGGTTCGGTTCGGGTATCAAAAATAGTCAATGTTCGGGTCGGGGTACAAGTTTCTGATACAAACCTGAGCTTGATTTTTGTAATTTAATTATCTCATTTTCATTTGAAACATTTTCTTGTTTTAAAGTGATCTGTTCAATTATTGGGCATTCAGTATTAACTAAATTAGTACTTTTAGTTTGTTTTTTATTTTCAAAAATTTTTCCTTCAGTCTTTGAATTTATTTTTGTTGTTTTTAATTCCTCAACAATTTTGTTCTGTTAATTAATTTATAATATTATGGTACACAGTATTAGTTTACAACGCAAGTTCTATTTTTAATCTCACCCTTCGTATCCGATATTATCAACTCAGTCTTTTCTAGATCCAAAATTCAAAAATATAACTAAACAAGAGGTAGAATTTTTCCTGGAAAGAAAGAATTTTGGCTCCCCGGTCTTGTTTAAATTCCATAAAAATTTTTTTGTAAATCCTAAATTTTAATTTTTATCTATTAAAGCTTACACTCTCTTTTGTTAATGTTTCTTTAGTTATAGGCTCTTTTCCTTGTTTAACTATTTGATAAAATTTAATTTTGGAGATTCCAAGAAAATCGTTAAATTCTTTACCTGTTTAATAAAAATTAATGGTTTTAATTTTTTAATTTTCTAGAAAATAATAGTATATCCATAATTGGAAATAAACATGTCCGAAAAATTTTGAAGAAAATATTTTTATTACAATTGGGCCTTAAATTTAAATATACATAAATTCAGATAAGCGGCAATCTTTAGTAGGTCAGATTGAGAAAATTTCGAGTCGGGTTTCTTATAGGAAAAATGACTGGGTTCGGATTTTGGATAATCCGACACATCCTTGCCACATGTTTGATCCGCCTGACCTTTTTATGATTTAAATTTTATCGACTTCAAAGGAGTATTTAAAATCGAGTCTGATGCCCAAATACTATTATCGTCTCCATCAGCGCATATAAAATCTAGTCGGTCTATATTAAATAATTACTTACCATCAATTTCTTTAATTTTATTTGTCAAATGCTCAAAGTCCTCTTTAGCTACTTCTCCATTCTTATTTAAAAAATATTCTACAACTTTTTCTCTATAAATTTGCTTTTGGTCGTCAATCATTTTTCCAAATAATTTTTGATTTTTTAATTTTATTTCAACACATTCTAGCCAGATATTTTTATTTATTAATTTTAATTCTTCAAACATTTCTTCAATACAAAATTTTAAAGCTTGTAAAATTGTTGGTGAATTAATACATTTTTGTGCATATAATTTTGTGTCCAAAAATATTTCCTTAAATCATTTTAATCATTTTAATGTAATAATTCTACTTTATATTTATTAATATTATACCTGAAATTGAACCAAAAATATATCTTTCGGAGGATCATTTAATTTCAAAATAAATTCTCTCAAAAAATAATCTCCTTCCCAATAAAATTCAAATATTTTATCAATTGTTAACTTGATTTCCTTTAATTCTTCTTCATCTATAATTAAAATAATTTATAATTATTAATTTATAAAATATTTTTTTACATTTTTTACTAATCTTGTAAAACCATTCTTTATATAAAAAATAATCCATTGTCAATTTTATTCTCCATTTATCTACAATTTTAGTTTTTTCGTCAAAATATCCATTAAATAATTCAACTAAAATATTACTTTCGTCTGAAAAAAATTTCAGAATTAATTTTTATGTAAAAATAAATGACCAATACTGTTTCCAAAGAACAGAGTATATTTTTGAGTGATCATTACAGTTCTAGCCAAACCAAATAATTGTATAAAAATACAAATTGCTCTTTTAGGATCATTTTGTTTACTTTAATTAAAATATTAAATATATCAAGCCCAAATCCGAGTTATTTCCGTTCCCAGTTAATTTCCAACTCACAGTTACATCAGATCCCATCTATTTTCGTTAATCCGACTATATCTCTCTTAATCGGCCGAAATTACTTAAAATCGCCCACGATCCTTGTTGGCTCCGGGTGGAAAACAATGGATAGTATTATTTCGGGGATTTGTGTAGTTTAAGGGGATATCGAGAGATAACAGAAGAATGAGATGGATATCAAGGGATTAAGCGGGATTTGGTCTGATTATAGTGTGATCAGCAAGTATCGTTAGTAGACTTGACTGATGTGTTATCCATTACACCACGCCGCCTACTGCATAGCCTTCTGTTAAACAGCTATATGCTTTACAGCATTAAAACAAATTTTAAAAACTCTTATAATTAATTTACCCTATTTTTAAATAAAAATTTTTTCTTTTCTTTAAAAAATATTGAACTAAAACAATAAAATTTGTTTCCTGAATGGACTCTTCCCAATTTTCAATTATTTTTTCAATTTTATTTTCATTTTTATTAGTACATT